ACTCTCTTGAGAGGAGCCTAATTACAACTACCTGGGTCCAATTATCTCCTGTATCTGTGTAGTTATTCTCTGCGTCTATCTGCCTGCCGTTGCCTGGCGTCCAGGACCAACTCCCTTGTCTCCTTCCCACTGCTCCAAGGCCTGACGTCAGGGACCAACTCCCTTTGGCTTTCACCACTGCTCCATGCCTCAAGCGCCTCCTGGTGGCCAACCAGCCTCTCTGGTCCCTGCTTGGAGTCGGAACCCTGTCCAGGGTCCTCCACATCTTCCAGAGCTGACTCATAGGGCCCCTCGCTGTCGGAGTCTGTTTGCAGCTCCAACGGCTCCTGCTGGGCCACAACAATAATGTATGACTTTTCGTGGTAGTTTAATGTTTTGCATTTAAAAGCAGAACTGAAAAAGAATAAAAATCTCCAATAAAACTGGAGGTTGCGGGAAAAGTCTGGGAACACAAACAGCAAATTTTAAGAGGAACAGATTTGCCAATTGTCTTATTTTTATGGGGTCCTTGGTGCTTGGTTATTTTCTTGCAGACGTTTCATTGCCAAACTAGGTAACCTCATCAGTGCTAGCCTGATTAGCTTGGTGAACACCAAGGACTTCGCCGTCAATGCTGAGCTACAAATATTGTCTTCTTTGGGGGGGGATTTTATTATTTTTTCCAGGTCTGAGCTACCGCCTGGGGAAAGTAATCTGAGTACCACTGGAATCCAGTGTGAACTTATTCCCAAGAGGGAGGAATCGGATGCGGAGATTTCCAGGTGAATTTTGGATTCAGTAACAAAAACTGACTTGGGAATGGCAAAATGTTGTGTACAAACATGTAAAGTTTGTGGCAAAGGATTCCTGCTGGTTGAAATGAAGTACAATGTGATCATCTTTCGCTGCAAACTACAAGTAGTCCTTGCTTAACGATGGTAATTGGGACCATGTTAATGCACATCGTTAAGCGAGGATCATACTGTTACGCGATGACCTTGTGGGATCCTTCTGACTTCCTGCTGGCTTCCCCATTGATTTTGCTTCTGGGAAGCCAACCAAGATGGACACAATCCACAAATTGTGTGATTGTGGCACTCTGCCATGCTCAGAAATTTAGGCTGGTTGCCCATTGCCCCAATTGCAATCGCATGACCACAGGAGCGATGCCAATAGCCTCAGCTTCAAGGACTGGTCATAAGTACCGCTTATTCAGTGTCACCATGAGTTTGAGCAGCCTCTGAATGAGCGTCATTAAGCAAGGACTACCTGAAGAAGTTCCTGTCCTCTCTTTGGCGGGAACGGAAGGTCAGAAAACCTTTTGATGCCTCTGTCATACCTGTTTCTACTCAAATAAGAATCACTGAAAGGGTTTTTGATAGCAGAATAGAATTCTTTATTGGCCAAGTGTGATTGGACACATAAGGCATTTGTCTTTGGTGCATAGGATCTCTGTGTACATAAAGAAAAATAAAATGGAATGCGTTCATCAAGAACCATAAGGTACAACACTTAATGATAGCCATAGGTTACTAATAAGCAATCAAATCATACTAGGAAAAAATCAATATAAATCGTAAGAATCCAAGCAACAAAGTTACAGTCATACAGTCATAAGTGAGAGGAGACGGGGGGATAGGAACGATGAGAAGGCTAATAGTTATAGTAATGCAGACTTAGTAAATAGTTTGACTGTGTTGAAGGAATTATTTGTTTAGCAGAGGGACGGCATTCGTGAAAAAACTGTCCTTGTGTCTAGTTGTTCTGGTGTGCAGTGCCCTATAGCATCGTTATGAGGGTAGAAGTTGAAACAATTTATGTCCAGGATGTGAGGGGTCTGTAGATGTTTTCACGGCCCTCTTTTTGACTTGTGTAGTATGCAGGTCCTCAATGGAAGGCAGGTTGGTAGCCATTGTTTTTCCTGCAGTTCTGATTCTCCTCTGAAGTCCGTATCTGTCTTTTTGGGTTGCAGAGCCAAACCAGACAGTAATGGAGGTGCAGATGACAAGACTCAATCATTCCTCTGTAGAACAGAATCAGCAGCTCCTTGGGCACTTTGAGCTTTCTGAGTTGGTGCAGAAAGTAAACATACATTCTCTTTTCTTCCTTGGCAGATACACTTCTTTTACTACAGAGAATAGAATTACCTCCCCACAGAACCAGTACAGAGATCAGAGATCAGGTGAAGATTCAGACAGGTAAGGAACTGGCACTCCTGGCAGCTTGGTGAGACACTGCATTGCGCAGAGCAATTGTCCTGCTTTATTTTACACTTCCTGCCCATTCCCCTTCAACGCAAGGAAAGCAGATGTGGCTTTGAAATACCTTTCAAAGAAGAAGAGAATGTCAGAAAAACTCTCAGGAACAAGATGTGATGTTTTCGGCCTTGTTCAGTAAATGAAGTGGCCAAGAAATACCACAGTTCTCCCATATTTTTGATTGTACAGTCCTTTGGCTTCTTGGTTTCCAGTTTTTCATGGTTTCTTTAAAAGGCTTATTTTTTTGAAAAAAAATCCCCCTTGATTCAACATTGCAAATGGTAAGGATGCATTCTCCTCACCTCGATCTGTTTGTAATGCCTTTGGAATTAGCAAACTGATTCTGGGCATCGGTGAGAAACAAGGAAAGAAGCATAATTTTGGAATCTTCTAAATTCTGATGTGGTGGCTCAGTGGCTGAGATGCTGAGCTTGTCAATAAGAAAGGTCGGCAGTTCAAATCCCTAGTGCCACGTTACAGGGTGACCTCCCATTACTTGTCCCAGCTTCTGCCAACCTAGCAGTTCGAAAGCATATAATAAAAGTGCAAGTAGAAAAATAGGGACCACCTTTGGTGGGGAGGTAACAGTGTTCTGTGCACCTTCGGCATTGAGTCATGCTGGCCACATGACCATGGAGGCGTCTTCGGACAGCATTGGTTCTTTGGCTTTGAAACAGAGATGAGTACCACCCCCTAGAGTTGGGAACGACTAGCACATATGTGCGAGGGGAACTTTTACCTTTACCCAAATTCCTTTGGGAAACAAGATTTGACCTTCTGACTTCTTGAGTTGGATTCATATTTCTAGCTTTAACATAGTCAGCCTTGGGCTTCAAGTCTGACATGTAATAAAATCAGGACACGCATGTGGCATTTGGTGGACAGACAAATATAATACTTTTCTCCTACATATCTGTCTTTGAGCTCAAGGCCACCCCAACTACTGGCAGACATTAATATTAGGGTATGGAAGGACCGCTAATGATTGTTCCTTGTTTTCATTTCTGTGTCTCAGACTGTGTTGTCACTGGGACCCAAAATACTGAACAGAGAGATAAACAATCTAATACATTGGGAAGCATATGTTGAATTGTAACTATGCATGATTTTAAAAATCCAACTTATTTCATCTTCCTGGTGAGGATGGATTTTCCTTTTTCTTAATCCACTGTGATTCTTAGCTCATTGCAACTGGAGATAGAGATGTAGGCCACATATAGCTGCCCACTTGCTATAGGTGGGTATTAAGCGGTAGCCTGGTACAAGATTGTGGCTTTCACTGATGGTGGACTATTCTATGTGGGTATTCTGATCTAGGCTTCCCCAAAAAGCACGAAGCAGATTCCTGGTCCTGACAAAACCCTTTTTATTAAACCAATGTGAATTCCTCTCATTCACATTCAGCAAAGGCCTGGCAAACAGTCTTTCAAAGGAGTATTTATGACTACAGACCTTATCTATCTTGGAAAGCTGCCATGTAAAATTTTCCAAATGCAGTGCAGTGCAAGGAAAGACTGGGCATAGAGTCTCTGAGATTCACAGACAGATCTTCACACTCCTGAAACGAATGAACGAATGAGCGAATTGTTTCCTGCAAAAGCCCACTCCCCTTTTGCTCCTCTTTTATTTCCTATGGGAGGAGTCATTCACCGTCCACCTGTGACTTTACTCCCAAGTCGACCCTGATTTCTGAGCTGTTGTTTTCTTCTGGCAGCTCTGCGCATTTCCACACTGGGACCAGGCTACAGCTGTTCTTCTGCCTCACTGCTGCCTAGCTCCGAAGGCAGCTGAGAACTGCCAGACGGTCTTGGCTCCCTCTCCCAGAGCCCTCATCAGAGCCTTCCCCAAACTCTAGGACTGGCCCATGTTCCTCCCCAACCTCCTCATTGTCCGACTCTGCTGCCAGCTCTGCTGGCTGGCCACAACACTGGGCTCTCATGTCAAATAGAGTGTTAGGTAGGTCTTTGGCATAGATACCTCCACTGAGATGGGGATGGTAAGTGACAAAACACACGTTGG